ACTAACCGGTTAAACCAAGAATGAGTCAACCGGGTTTCATAATTTGTTCATGCGAATCATATAAGTTACAGAATCACATTCATGTATTACACTAATACGTAACTTTTTAATTTTAATATACATGAGCACATTATGATAAACAGCAATAAGCGATAGATAACATAAACAATTCATCAATATCTAGTTTGTGCTTATTAGCTTATTCAAAACACTAATCAACCGCACGAACAATTCTGGGTGACTAATAAATGAATTGAGCAAATTAATATTCTTACCAGAATCAATAGTTTCACATGTACAGATTAAAGATATCTACGAGTGTCAATTCAAAAACAATGATTTTGAAACAATTTCAAAAAAAACCGAGCGATTACAATCAAATATGTAATCATTCGATTCATACAAACACGATCGATAAATAACTTAACAAAATCGATCATGACAAAATTATTTATCTATATCAACATATAAATTAAATAAGATTCAATTTCAGTATTAAAACAAGTAGGCTCTGATACCACTGTAGGAATTCATACCGGTTTATAACGATTTATAAAACAACCTATGAATTCTATTTCTAGAATCTCATGCCAATACTGAAATAAATCTAGATCTTAGGGTTTCGGATATACCTGGTTATTCGCAGCGGAAAGATGAATAAAACAGATTGAGGTTTTAGCACTCCAAACGTCGTGCCTCTATTGGTATCCACACGCACACNCAACTTATTTATTATTCAGTTTGCTTAGGTGTGTGACCCTATAGGATCATATAAAATTAGTAATGAATTCATAATTCATAGATTATAAGCGGTTTCTAGCAAAACATTATAACCACCTAATTTTACACGATCGTCGAACCTCGACGTTACGACTTTAACTAGAGTAAGTACAAATGATTTTAGGACATTCCCAACACTTGGACCAACAAACTACCAGTGCGCGTTAGTGCAAGGTCCATTGTGAAAGTGGATGCGGCAACAATGGAATATTTATTTATTGTTTAAATAAAATTAGAAATAAGTGTAAGTTATTGCATCAAAATAAGTGTAAGTTATTGCATGAAAATAAGAGTTATTGCATCAAAAAAGTAACATTGATGCAATAACTTACACTAAGAAATGTTCGTCCACGAAATGCAACACTCTTATTTTGATGCAATAACTTACACTTTGCAAGATGTCGACTGGACGAAAAAAACATATATGGTAACATTGATTTTCTAGTCTTATAGGCTTTATAAGCTCATCATAGATCAAAGTACGTGTGTGCATCCGTCATCTTTAGGATGGTGCTAGCTTAGCTCCTCCCAATATGATTTCATGAGACTGGAATCAGAAAAGGCTGAAGAGTTGTTCATTTTCTAATAAATGTTTTTGTGTTATTAGTGGTTTCTTTAGTCGAAATCAAAAAGAATCAAGGAATTTAGAGAGAAAAAAAACAAATAAGAAAGAACGGATTTTTTAGAATATTATCAAACAAACTCATTTAGTATAATTAATTAAGTACTTATTTACGTAATAGATACAAATCATATATAGATACTTCCAAATTTTTTAATGCTTTCTTCTACCACATCTCCAATTTTGAGGGGTTCAGCGTTCACGACTCATCCATAAACACGGCGCCATGACCACTTGACCGTACCAACTTCTTCAGCAAGAGAACCACAATCGCAATCGTGAGTCCAACCGCTGCCCATGTGAACAACCTGTCATCACCACTTCTCTGAGCCGCCCTGACAACAACCGTCTCTTGCTCCCTCCGCCTCACCAAACCGTTTCCGTTGTCTCCTGCTGCGACCTCTACTGTTGCATTTGCTCCAGGAACAACGGCCTGACCTGCCTCTTCAGCGGTTTGATCGGCTACATTCTCTGCAACAGCTGTAACAGGCTCGGGTGTAGCAGTTTCAGCGTCCTGCGGCTTGGTTTGGGACAGACCGTCTGAATCAGCGGAAGACGTTTTGATACATTCCTGGGGATTAGGTTTCGGAGAAGGTGTCTTGCTGAGCATGTATTGATGAATCTGCATATATCAGTTATAAGGTCAAAATAATATAATGTTATGCCCGGATTCCATATAAACCGTACTTAACCCCTATGTCAAAGATGTAAACACGTAGTCAGGTCTTTAAAATAAATGACATTCTTAACACTACTTCTGCTTAACAATACTAATAATCGGTAATGATGTCTTTTCAAGTTAATAACTATCAACTATTCCTTGCTATATTTTCATTTGGCTTCAAGATCAACAACACTTATGGAGCCATCAGTATAAATATCTAAGAAACTTCTAATGAGAAATGACCGTTACAAGTTTGCATATTTGCATTCCAAACACACCACAAGTAAACTAAACACTTTTAGGATGAATAATTGTCCTCGCAATTTTTACTAAGAGGCCATCATGCGTTTAATATGAAAATTGTACAGATATCCAGTTAATTAGTTGAATAACCAAAAAGCACTCTAAGAAATGTAGCCACATTCATAGTTTCCATCTGAATAATGCGTATTAAAGTTCAAAAATTGCACTCAAGGAAGTATAATCTAGTGGAGTACCTCATCAATAACTTTCTGACGCTCAGGAGACCCATATTTAGGTGGTGCCTCGCGTGATTTAGTGGCAAGTGCACGTCTCTCCTCCTTTGGATAATCAACTGACCCTATAGCTCCACTGGGGTTTGAAGGCATGAACGCAATAAGCGCCACCAAAGCAGTCCGAACTGACAAACAAGCAAGAACAAACTCATGAGTTAAAACTATGTACGGTTATAATTTGCTTATCATGGTCAACACTAAGTGGGGGTTATTGATAAACTCAACCTAATTCTAGTATTATTGGTTCTATGGTTTTAAAATCCATATTAAAATCATGTGTTATTGGTTTAATGATTTAAAATTCTAATTCAAATCAGGTGTTATTCAATGTTAGTGATTTCTAAATACTAATTAAAATATATTCGATTTGAAAAAATCTGAATAACTTGGAATTATAAATAGAATTCTAAATCAGTTCAAATACAAAAACCAATAACATCTCCTTAAAAGTATATGTAGAGCTTACCACTCCATGAGGGTTGCCAATGCTCGGGATGATAATTAGAGATACTCAAACAAATCTTGGTGTTTGTTTCAAAACGACCACTAGGCTGAAACAATACCAACAAAAACAAAAGATTCAATCATAGATCATAGATGCACGTTTCTAATCTATTTTAAGTCTCTTTTATGAGTGAATCTCTTACGGTCAATAACAAAAAGGAAGGAGGCTTGAAAGGATAATCTGAAGGCAACTGAATCCTCCCATGATATATCCCTCCTTCAAATTCCGTCTCGCTTGGTCCTCTTATCGCGAATTGCCACTCAAATATATTCTCCTGCAATCACAAACAAATCATTGTTTAACTATTTAAACATCGCATGCAACCATTAGATCGGAGCTAGAAAGGCTAAGGCTAATCAGATCGGAGCTTGTTCGTTCAATTTCTGGAGCCATAGATACGAAAAATCGAAAAAAAAAACTACCTCGAGAGGAAGAGACATGAAATCGTCAGAAGGATTAGCTTGCATCTCCTTAACCTCCTGGAGGATCCTCTTCACCGCCGGGTTCTTACGGTTATATCTCTCGTCCGCCATGTTCTCCGCTCTCAAGATCTGATTCCAATCCACCGCTAAAAAGTCTCGATAATGTCAAACTCAAACAACAGATATTATTATTATCGTTTTTTGAAATTTAATACGAGTGGGAGTTAGTAAATATCGGAGTCGAAGTTATGCGCCACGTCATCGTAACGCGAGAAGGATGACGTGGCGAGAATTGATTGGTACTTTGTTTTAATGGAATGGTGAAAAGAAGGTGTGGTTAATCGTTCGTTTAGGAATCCAACGATCTTTAGTTCGCCACATCATCACCGATCTATAATCGCTCACCGATCTATAATCGCTCATTGGTCTACACGGCGTGGAAAGACTTTTATGGGCCTTATTCTATACACATTAAGCCCAATAATAATGCGTCGATGATGGCCTGCTTTCGGTTTGTACAACGATTGCCTGTTTTTCATAATTTTAAAAGAGTTTAGAATTTTGTCCAAAAAAAAAAGAGTTTAGAATTGGTTACAATTTTAGTGCTATTACTATTAGATTTTTGAATCAGAATCATCCATTATTCAGTGATTTTTTCATCTAAATTAACATTTTTCTCAACAGGCAAGTTTACAACTTGAGAGTTTTTGCTTCTTTCCTTGGAAATTGGAGCATGTCCCTAGCAAAAATTGCATATGTTGTAATTGTAACTTGAACATGAATACAATACCAAATTCTACAAGTTAATCATTACATGCATAATTCAACAAGCTAAGTAGTAGTCAGGACCGTGGCTGAGTACAAACCAATCAGACAAAGGTTTGGGGTCTTGAAAAATATATTACTATTAGGGATTAATTTTGAACTGAAATAATTACGTAGTTAAGTTAATTATGTACTTATAAAGAATAAATAAGGTGCACAGTTCAATTGTTTTCTAATATAACATTTTATTTATATTGGTTTTGAGGGGGACAAATAAATATTAACTGATCTTCATGGCATAAAATTCTCAGACACAACCCTGGTATAACAATTCAGTGGTAGCATCGTGAAGCAATGAAATGGTTAGCTTGTTAGAGCAGGATTAACGCAAAGGGTGCTTATAGGGTGCTTATTTTTAATTTTTTTTTTATTTTTTTCGTCCTTAAAAAAAAAATTATAATTAAGACGAATCGCGGGTCGCCACGTGTCGGTGGGACCCGCGTTCAGAACAAAAGTCGACGCTTAAACAAGCACAGAAAGCGCCAGTGCTTCATTTTTTTGCGGGTCCCGCATACTAATATATTATTTTCTTTTCTAAGCACTCAACCTAAAATCTTGCGTTGATTGTGCTCTTAGAATTCAACTGTATTATGATGTGTAAGAATATGTAAAACTATCAACTCAATAATCAGTGTGTAAGACTATTATATGTTAAGATGTGTTTCTACCAATATTGAGTAACACGTCACTGCCATTGCCAACTCTGAGTTTTTTCAGCCTTCTTACTGAAATTATTTACCGGATTAACACTCTCCAATGGATGGAGGTGTACTTATTTCAAACAGAAAAAAACAAGAAAAAACAAATTACAATTTATTATTTCTGGATATTTTATTATTTGAGATTATCCCTCCCCATACTGTTTCAAACATTCACAAAGTCTCATATGATTCACTTATTATCATCACCTCGATTCAAACCATCACTCAACCGCCCTACCCTCCTCCCTCACGCCGCCAAATGAGAACCAATACTTAGGCTGTTTATTAGGTAAAAACACACCAAAGTTCTTCTCAATCTCAGGATTCTTCTGATTCTCATCGAACATGGCAAACAAATACGTCTCCACACCTCTTCCAGGTTTCTTCGGGGTCCCTCTGTTCTCTCTCACACGAGCCGCCAGGTTCGTGTAATACGCTTTTGCATTATCAAAAGTCGCAGCGGTTCCACCGTTTGAAGGCCACCCGCTCTCGGAAACGACAACGTTGAGAGATCCACCTCCTGAACGTTCAACGGCAGAGTAAACAACGTCGAGCAAGGCGTCGAAGAGGTTTTGGTAGCCGCGAGATCCGTCCCAGACTACGACGGAAGGAGAAGTGAAGAGAGCGTAGGAGAGTGCGATGTCTCGTGGGTTGCCTATGTAGCTGAAGTAAGGGTAGATGTTGGCGAGTAACACAGAGTTCGTGCTAGTTAGGAACCTGATTAGTCAAAGAGGTAAACATATTAGTCATTGAGGAAAATGATCATTACATTTTGTGGTTTCGGGCCTGAGTGTATTAGTGTCATTCATTCACAGAAAAAATAAAGAGTGAAAATGATCATTACCAAGTCGAATAGTTGCTCAGAAAAAAAAAATATACCAACCAAATAAATTTTGTTGGTTTGGTTTATTTACACCAGTTTAATTTTGTGCTAAGCAAGCATGAACTTTTGTGAAATCAGGTAACCAACTCTACTAAAAATTGCATAAAATACTAAATTGACTGATACTCCCTCTATTTCCAATTTTCTTTTAAAAATGTTACACATCAACAATATATAAACATTTACTTACAAATGCATTGTTTTCTATGCAAATATCTTTTTTAAATCTAATAAATATTAATTAAAGAAATTCAATTAACTTTCAAAAATTTATAATTTAGCATTGTTTACTAATAAAACATAGTTTCAAAAATATATTTAATTATATATACACTATATATTTTATACAACTATTGAAAATAAATTCTAATCAATAGTACTCAAACAAAAATAATTCAGTCAACTTTTAAAATTTTATTATTATCCTCTAATAAAAATTGATTTATCATAAAAATGAAAGTATAACATATATTTAGTATTTATTAAAAAAATATACACTACATTTTAAAATAAAAAATAACATGCTATAAATAGCGAGAAAAAAAACAAAAAAAACATGCTATAAATAGATGGCATGTTATTTAGAGGAGCAAAAGTTCGAATGTAATATTGTTGCTAATAAAAAAAAAAGTAACATTCACTAGTACTTAAAGCAAAAATTGATGGAAAAATAAATAAAGTGCATGAACTTACCCGATGATGGGATCAATAAACCACCTAACATCACCACGAAACTCTCCAGAGGAAGGAGGGAAAGAGTTACCAATCAAAGTCATATCAATCGCCGTAGAGACTTTGATCCTATCCTGAAGATTCGCACCTCTTAGAGCATCGTAAACGTTACGCATCGCAGGGAGCACATCACCGCCACCGTTAGACGGAACAACTTCGTTACCAACGGCGATGTACTTGAAGTTAACGGCGGGATAATGGTTAAGAACGTTGTTTCGGATCCATTCTCTAGCTGAGGAAGGGTTAGTGAGTGAACGGAGATCAGAGTTTGGAACACCGACAAGGACTTCGATGCCAGTGTTTTTAAGAGCATTTAAAGCTTCTTGGTTTGGGTCGTAGAGACGAACTCTTCGGATGTTGTTTTGTCGGAAGAGTGCGATGGTGTCTTGTTTAGATGGAAGGTTGTTCCCCATCATTCCATAACATACACCTACTGGTTCTCCACCTGGTTTCATCATTTGCATTAAAATTTACATTAATTAACCATGTGATTTGTGTTTAATGATAATATATAAATCATGTTGAAAAAGAGAGATACTTGTTGGGTTGAATATGGTTGCGAAGAGCGCTAGAAGAAGAAGCAATGGAATCGTTGGTGACATATCGAAATTGATGTGTAGAAGCTGCTTAAGTCTTTTGCTAATGAGGGTTATCGATAACTCATGGTCTAATTGGGTTTTATGCTTAAGCTTTTTATACGCAAACATCAGTACGTACTTGAGTTAATTTAGTTATTTTAGGATTAAGCATATGTATGTATACATTGTGTATTATGTATTTGTTTAATGAATCAGATTAAAAGTCATTAGTCTGGTCAAGTAATTGAGTACGTAAGGTCGGCTCAAGTGCAAATACAAGATGGTATATGTTATACAATGGGAAGCTCAAATCGAAAAATGGGTAGAGAAATGTCCCTTTCCAAATCAAGAAAGTAGATGAGACTTGCTTATATTTTCCAACATTGATCAATCAACCCTAATGTTTTTTTCTGTCTTTATATGTACAAAATTTGATATATTTTGTAATAATTAATATAAACGAATGACGAGAAGCATATTCGATTAGGCACGTAAGATATTTTGAATGACTACTAACTTTTTCTTTCTAATGAGTAATGAGTAAGAGATTTTGAGTTTGTAAGCGTATTATACATTCCGTAGAACTAAACTCTTATACAATTTAACTTTTATTTCTAGAGTAAATCCTTTCCAATAGAATTTTAACATGTGATCTCTCAAATATCGACTAGATACAAACAACTTCACCAACAACAAATATAAAAATTTGAAGTTCAAAGTATAATACGTGCAAGTTGCAACAACTTTTAACTTATGAAATTAAGATAAGCTCTTAATCAGTGTCAATTCAAGCATAAATCCACTCATGAGATTGTTACTGATTATTTGACTTTCGTGGTGGTCCAATATGATTTTTTTCTAAGACAACCTTAATTTTTCTTATTTGATTATGTATATAATATATTTGAAGGCAGCAGCAGCAGCCCATGCGAACCTTTCAATCATCTTATACAGACTCAGTTTCTAAACCTAATCATCAAGTCGTGTATTATATACAATGATCCACTTGAGACATAAACTCTCTCTTCAATATAAATAATTCTTGATATTTCCACCATACATAATAGAATACTATAACGTAGGCACTAACATATAGTAATTTTATCGAGAAGATTATACTAATCAACCTGTTTAATGTCACAAGTTATAACAAAGTCACAGCAGCCGGCGGCTAAAAGACTAGAAGCTACCGATATGACAATTTTCAGTTTCCACGTATTCCTTTTCTTTTTTTTGAGCAACCAGTTTCCACGTATCCAATTTTCAAACCCATCTGAGATAACGACGAGTTTTCTGAACGGCCCCACATAAATCAGAAAATTCATAACTAGACCCAGGTAAAACTAAAATGATCATAAAAGACCCTGAAAGTTCAAGAACAACATAACATCCCCCACAGCCCACAGTTTTCATATTTGTACACAGAAAACTCCAAACTAAATGTATGACACAATTAAAGGGGAAGTCAATAACACATTACACATGGATAATGTAACCCTACAACAGAGTTCTATTCTCTCCAGCGATGGCCACAGTTGGGGTTGCAGCAAACGAAGAACAGAGTCATTCCTTCCTCTCCTCTAGCAGTAGCCTGCAAATTCAATCACACACGAGAACTAATATGAATAGCCAAGATATGGTACTGGTTTAGAAGTAGCATAACTAACTGAATAAAGTATAAAGATTTAGATCTTAAGTTAGAGTAGAAAAAGAACGAATGTTACTTTACTTATTTTGACTGATGATAACAAAGTAAACGATTTAGGATAAATCACCTGGAAGAAGACAGCTTCACCGTGTTGACACTTGGCGCAGCGCACGGCCTTGGTGCGGGGAAGAGTGGGGTCAGAAGCGACGTCGGATAGGATCTGAGTTTGTTCACTTACAGAATGATGAACCTCGTTTCTGTACACACAGTTATCATCCGCCGCTTCCTGTCAAAACCGAAGATACATTACCAACAGGGAGGTAACAAATAACCATCGAATGAACTAGATACACAATCAAAGGATGCTATAAATGAGTGAAACCAATTCAAATCTCAAACCAAGAACAGTTAAAATTAGACTCATCTAAGACTAACACAAGATAAACAGCAGCTAACTAAGCACAAAAAGGTTTAATGCTGCTGGATCACGTTAACATAAAAAAAATCAATCACGTTATACAGTTCCAACTTCCAAACATTTGATAATCAAGTAACAGTTAGCAAGAGCAAATCCAGTATTAAGCTAAGTTTCAATACATACATTCATAAATGATCATCTCATGGTATTAAGTTAAGATGGAGACTGTTGGATCTCAGAATAGATTTGGAAGCAAAGTTGCGCAGATCTGTTAATAGCATTACACACTCTAAAAATAGTTGCAGTTTGTTCAGAATTCCTCAAAGAACTCTTAACTGATAAGAATTGTCTTTTTTTTCCAAACAAGGACTATGAACTCGTTAATTCCTCATTTTCTGGGTTTAATTTGAAGTCCTAAACTTTGAGTCTTAACCGTACAAAAAGGCTCTATTTTTACAAAGAGGAAAACAACATCAGTTTATTAAACAAGAATCAAAGCTTTGATAAATCTCTTACACAAATTAAAACGAAACAAAAATTTATTGCTATAAGCCATACATAGCTTTGTTTCAAAGCACATTTGACACATGGAACCCTAATTATGTTTCAAAGCTAATAAAGCCCATGAAACCCTAATTTGATCAAAGAAGGCATGTACCTGGTGATCACAGTTACGGCAAGCGTAGAGGAGTATCGATTGCTCCTTGTCTTCCTTAGGGTATAATATGTTATTACTGCCAAAATTTCCCAAAAAAAAAAAACACAAAATCAAAACGAGGAAAAGAATAGATCTTTACTCGAATTGACAACACCATACGCAAAACCCATCAATGCTTAAGCTTCAGACGGAACTTAAGTGAAGTACCGAAACAGATTCAGACAAAACCCAAAAACTAAAGATTTTGACAAGAGTAAAAGAAAAGGTTCGGTTTTTACCATTCGCGACAAAACTTCATTGTACTCATCTTCGCTGGTTCTCTTCAGGTCACGAGTTCTTACTGATTTTCACTCACAAGTCTCTCGCTCTCTCTCTCAGTGTCTTTGGCGGGATTGTGAACGAGAGAAGGGTAAAGCTCTGTAGAATCTAGTAAAAGCTCTGCAGTGGCAATAGGGCGTAATTTTGTAGACTTTTGTCCGAGATTTGCACCAGTTGGTGTCCAAAAGCAAGCCCATGGGCCAGCCCATATACAAGGGTTTAACTCTACTGTTTGACTTTTGGCCTAGTTTTCCGTATTAATTCTTTTCGGAAATTGGTAATGATAACCCAAAGAAATTACAATTCACTATCTAGCTAAAAAACAAATTATCATGACATTTAAGATATTTTCTATTTAATTTGTCCAAATACCATTTAACAATATTTTGTTTTTATTTATTTTTTCTATTCTTTCTTCTCTTCACACTAATGATTCTGTAATTGTGTTTTTGCTTTCATACTCTATTTTCGTTAGGTTTATCACATCACTATTACTCCGAACTGTTATAAATCATCGAAGAATAAATGTGTGTGAAAATAAATCAATAAAAATTATAATAAATAAGTTTTCTAATTTATTATTTATGTTGTTTTTAACAGTTTTATTTTTTGAACAGATTGTTTTTAACATTTATTAATATATATATATAGATATATATATATATATTAATAAATACAATATTTATATTAAATATTATATACTTCATTTGTCATTTTGCAAGACTTATTCAGTCACAAAATTTTCAATTTTTGAATTTTTCAGCTTTGATTCTGCAACTTAATTTTATTTTCAATCACATTCCATCGTTATCCAATGTTTCATAACTTATGTGGTCGACAAATAGATAAAAAAAGAAAAAAGGACCACACGAAATAAATTTGACTCTTTCTTCATTGAAGAGTAATGTACCTTTTTAACAGTAACCACCACATGCATATTACCATGCACCTTATATCATTCTGTAATTATTTGTACATACAGATAAAATATTTTAATAACTATTTTGTCCCCATGAAATAAATAACCATAATGTTCATAAACCAATTATCTTGGTGACCAAAATAGAAAACAAACTTCTTAAAAGATTCCAAGTATTGAATTGGTCCGTCTCTGAACAACTCCTGACTCTTTGGTGCATACCGACACATCTTTCTCTCTATGTCGAAGCAACATGTTCACCTGTGATTTTCTCTTCATTCATTACAACTTCGAACTCTTTTGTTTTTTTTTATATATAAATTGTATCACGTGAATATGTAATCTTGTATCATTTGTATATTTTAAAAATCATAACGTTACCATTTCTTCTACAAAACCACAAACATTAATTTACATATAGGATTGATTACTAATGCATCATCCGTAGTTGGGTTGTTGTAGTGCACATGCAGTCATGAGATCATACATATATAGTAGGCGTGTTGTGTGTATCATGTATGCATGTGTCTATACATGATTAAATGTTTCTATAAATATGGACACACATAGATACTAGCTTCCTAAAACAGTACAAACTCCACTGAATGTTAATACTCAAGAAGAAAGTGGAGAGAGATTGTATAACGATGAAGAATCTTTTTAACGTGTTCCTTGTTACGCTTCTGGTTTCAATGCCAATTCTCTCACTTGCTACCAACTTCAGCGAGACTTGTGAAGACGGAAGTGGTGAAACCGGTTCAAGTTTCGGTATAGGGTTCGGTATAGTTCTAGAATTCGATTTATACCGGAATAGCTGCCCTGAAGCAGAGTCTATCGTCTACTCATGGGTTGAAAACGCGGTTTTACAAGACCCAAGAATGGCTGCTTCTCTTCTCCGTCTTCATTTCCACGACTGTTTTGTCAATGCAAGTCCTCTCTCATCTAAATTATTAATTAAAATCCAAATCAATACCGGTTTAGTACAGCATGAGTATGAACCGGGATATGTTTTTGCACTGCATTATAGGGATGTGATGCTTCGGTGTTGTTGGATGACACAGAAGGATTGGTCGGTGAAAAGACGGCGCCTCCTAATCTTAACTCTCTACGAGGATTTGAAGTGATAGATTCGATAAAGGCTGATCTTGAAACTGTATGTCCAGAGACTGTCTCATGCGCAGACATTCTTGCCATGGCTGCTAGAGATTCAGTCGTTGTGGTAAATATTATAAATACTTTCAGCATTTTTTTCTAATTATACTCATGTATAAACCGGTTAACGTTAAACTCTTCAAACCGGGTTTTTGAAGTCGGGTGGACCAAGTTGGGACGTGGAAGTAGGAAGAAAAGACAGTCGAACCGCGAGTAAACAAGCAGCAACGAATAGCTTACCATCACCAAACTCAACCGTACCAATTCTCATCTCTATCTTTCAAAATCTCGGTCTTTCTCAAACCGACATGGTTGCTCTTTCCGGTACAGTATTGTTCTTATTCTTTTACCTAAATTAACCGGTTATCTTGTAGTTTGTAATATCATAATAATTAACCAACTAACAATAATCATACTTAACCAATTTAAACCAGGTGGGCATACATTAGGAAAGGCAAAGTGCACTTCATTTACAGCTCGGTTACAGCCACTTCAAACCGGACAACCAGCTAACCATGGAGACAACCTTGAGTTCCTAGAGTCACTACAGCAACTGTGCTCGACGGTGGACACTTCTGTAGCTATCACTCAGCTTGACTTGGTGACACCGTCAACATTTGACAACCAGTACTATGTTAACCTCCTCTCGGGTGAAGGATTGCTTCCATCAGACCAAGCTTTGGCGGTTCAGGACCCAGGAACAAGGGAGATTGTTGAGACCTATGCAGCTGACCAGTCAGTATTTTTCGAAGATTTTAAGAATGCTATGGTTAAGATGGGAGGAATAACTGGTGGTAGTGAGGGGGAGGTAAGAAGGAATTGTAGAGCGATTAACTAAAATAAAAAGGATAGAACCATTTATGTTCAAGATCAGACTTGATGATATCTTATATAAAAGTTTAAGAAGTCCTACATATAACTTTGGTTTTTAGAAAAATAATTTATAGATGGATGAACAATTAATTAAATCTATACATCTGTATATCCTTGATGAAAGTGTGCATATCCTGAGAAGTGGGTGAGTCAAAAAGTAGAAAAGATAAAACCAACAAGTTCAGAAACATAGACATTAACTGGACTCATTTGTCGGAACAAAAACGTTGATGTTGAAACATAGAAAACATGTGGACGTGGCATTATACCTAAATCATTTAATAACGTGGGATAAGTAGATTGAGCTGAAGCCACACAACCAAGACTAACCTATAAGATTCGTTACATGAGCGCTGTTCATGGAACCTATTCAAACAAGGCAACAAATGGTCATTGGAAAATGAACATGAGGGTTGTTATTTTGATATTCTATTAAATTTTGTTTGTTTCTATATTGATTTTTTTTTTTTTAACACTGGATAATTATGCCATTACAAACTACGAGAAATGTTACAGACGATTCAACAACCGACAATTCTATACCTATCTTATGAGGATTCACGCACTCCTAACTGCATCACCTGAGCCGCCCTATCAGATCCACGCTTGACGGTACTCCTTGTGCCATGCTGCAGATCTCTTGTAAGCCTTTCTCCANTTTTTTTTTTTTTAACACTGGATAATTATGCCATTACAAACTACGAGAAATGTTACAGACGATTCAACAACCGACAATTCTATACCTATCTTATGAGGATTCACGCACTCCTAACTGCATCACCTGAGCCGCCCTATCAGATCCACGCTTGACGGTACTCCTTGTGCCATGCTGCAGATCTCTTGTAAGCCTTTCTCCACTAATTCGCATAATTCCGTCTTCTCTGGGATTCGAACCCCATACCTGCTGGTGTAGAAGCATTAATGAACCCTTAGTCAAACCACTGGATTATTATGATAATTTAAGTATGTGAGAGTACAAAATAATTTATTTTTGATGAACCCTTAGACTTGGAACTCTTAGTCTAACTTGATTTGAAACCAAGATAATTTATTTTTGATATCATATTTAATGATTTATTAAAAAATTTAACTTATGGATGAACAATTAAGAAGAAATCTCAAACCGGGCTTATTGGTTTGAAGCTGATATATGAATGTACATTTATATTTATATTTATATTACTCCTACTCAAGCTTGGATCAAAGTTTTGTTTTACCAGTAAGTACATATACATTACTAATAAGACAACATGAGACATGACTTGCGCTAACTATGTTACAACAGACGATTTGTTTGTCAACTCTAGGAATAAAAAAGAAGAAGAAATCTCTGATTAGAGAATAGATAGAAATTCAGGTCGGCGAATCGCCTATATATTATACCTGAAGGGGTAAACTAAAACTCAGAGACCAAGAACACTGCTGCTTTTCCTCTGCTTGGCTAATAATTAGTTCCGCACCTTTCTATGTCTACTTACTGAAAGGCTTTCATGTGCCTGCGAAGTATCAACATAGGGAATTAGATGCAACCTTAAACTGAAGGAGCCTTGAGATTTCTTTGGGTATGGGAAAAACCGAGACAGAAGAGAGAAAGGGAAAATATGAACCTGAAGCTTTATTCTTCCACATCCAGAGTTCTTATGAGGTAATTAGCGGCTCTGGAGATTGCAAGAGAATAAGATCGGGTTCAACAAACATAACACTTAAATAACAATGAGAAGTATAGTAACCTGTTGAGTTCGTGACGGATCATTGATGGAAGCAGCCCCCACTTGTGTACGTGTCCGGCCAAATTCCTAGACATTTTTAACAGATTAGAATGTGAGCTCTGCCGTTAAAAGGTTTACAACAGTCTACAATTTTGTTCCTATTGGTATCTCATGTATGTCTTCTCATTAAATTTTAATGTAATCTAAAGATATGATGCACGATATAATATGTACCTGAGCATTTTGACCAGCTCCTGACATAGGAAACTGCATGTTCCAGAAAAAAGAAATATTCAAATAGAGAATTATATGCATATCGTTTTCTAAAAGCATATCGTTTTCTAAAATGTTACCAAAAATTAGAGAATTATATATGCATATCATTTTCTAGAATGCTACCAAATCTACTACTCATCACATCTGAACATTTGTTTGTCCTTACTCTAATGTGTACCACTAGGCATCAGATGAAGTGCTTATCATAGTCGAATTTCAATCAGTCCGACGTGAAATAAGTTTTACTGTTTCCTATAGCATGTTCAAATATGTACCTGGCTATTTTGACCAACTCGCAATGGCGGATACTGCATTGAAAAAGGGAAACGGACATTCACATTAGAAGTTTGTTTATGTATATTCAAAACGCTGGGAAGACCATGGCTTATTACATAAAGTATCCGTCTCCTTATATCACTAGATTGGCAACTCAAGAATAAAATCTTGAAATAAAAAATAAGCAAATAGGTTAACTAAATATACACCTGAGCATTCTGGCTGACCCCTGGAGTTGGATACTGCAACTCCAAATGGAAAAGAGTACATATTCAAGTTAGAGACCATGTGAGAAAACTATGTAAGCAGAAAGAAAACAGAACCAACCACTGAAGAATAAATAGGCTGTTGTAACTGTTGGCCCTGATATTGCTGGTGAACCTGTTGTGGTTGTTGCTGCATCGGCTGGGAATACAGAGCCTGCTGTGATTGGGTCTGGGGCTGCTGTATAGTTGGCTGCTGTTGCTGTCGTTCGAACACTACCATTTCCTCAGGTTTTTCCCACTGCAAAAGTCAATTATATTATAAACACGTACTGGTAAACTTCAAATATAAAATCTATACATATACATGTTCAAGGATCATAAATCGCACAAGAAATACAAGTAATCCTCTTGAAACTCACAAGAGAACATAACTAAAGAGGTACCACGTTACTCACCTTGCTTTCACCGGTTTGACCGTTGTAATAATACTTAAATCCATCAGGCGAGGTATGCTCGGTCCAGTTACATTTGCCAGAAATAACACTCTGAGTTGCTGCAGTTGCATCTGTTTGCATATAGCTAATTGGTGTAGAAGCAGTGGTGCTCACAACTGTCGGAATTGCAGATCCAGCCCACTGATAAAGAAGCAGACGAGAAGAACATAATTAAAAAGAGGAGAATAGTAACATATATGAAGGATTGAATACTTCGACATCATCTATCAGAAAATAATTCTAAGTTAAAACAACAAAAACAGCTGAGAAACTCGACTGGAGAGATGCAACAGAGAGATTTTGTTCGTACCTGCTGTTTACCATGGGCAGTCTGTGAGCCTGGTATATTTTGGTTTGGTTGCTGCATGGACTGAACCTGCTGCTGCAGTTGAGAAAATGCTTGCTGAGATGATTGGAAGGTTGCTTGTAGAGTCTGAGTCTGTTGTGACAAGAGCTGAACTAGTTCAGAAGGAGGATGTTGCATCCTTTGTGGCGGGGGCTGCTGAGCACAAGGGCGCAATTGATCAGTTGCAGAAGACACATGTGTTGCCCGTAGGTTGATGTTCAAAGGAGCTTGAGGAGCTGTTGCAGGAGTGACGTTTTGCTGTGGCCGCAGCTGAGAGGTAGGCAACTGGCTGCTAGAACCATAAGGATTCTGCAAGGATGCTTGGGACCCAGGGAAATTAGTTTGTGGTCGAAGTGGGACACCCTGTGGACTGTGAAGAGGTTTTTGTAATGGTGATATATGCTGGCCAGCTCCCCGGTTTTGCTAATGGAATAGAAACAGTTGAAATTAATAACTGATCAACACAATATTTTTCAGATTTTCTTTACTGAAAAATTCAGCCGAAGTACCTGTTGCGATGTGGCAGAGGATGAAACTGGTAGAGGATTAATGGGAGGAACAACATAACCACCCAATGGACCTCCCTAACATTACATAATGTCACAAATAAAGCCAACATCAGAAGTAGAAAGTATTGAAGAAAAAAACGCCTTCAAAATTAACAAAATGCAAATCAAAGCCATATCATTTCACTGCAAAACACATCAAGATTTGTTGCAACATATGAAAAGCTAAGAGTTCATACGCTCATATATGTGCAGCATATAAATTATGTTCGTCCTACTCGCACAATACATGCAAAACCTTATGTCCGATTACTGTATGGGTGTGTAGATTTAAGATAATATACATGACAATCAAGCTGTTCTTACATGATTTGAAGGTAATGTGGCTTGACCTGGCCTAGGAGACAAGTCACTTCCGATACCACGGATCCCAGTGTTACCAGGTGGCCCCATGTTTGGCGAATTCATAGGAAGCCAAGGATTTGTGTGGCTTACATCCCCACTAAGGTCGCCAAGGTTAGATGTAGGCCTAACAAATAGAGACGAGGAGACCAGGTTTAGTCAAATTATGTAATTACTTGATGACAATAATAACGATCTCCTTTTACCCCAGTCACCTTGGTCCTGAAGCTTGAAAACGAGGCCCTGAACCAAGTCCAACAGGATGTGCCACGTCCCTGGAAACAGAAACTGGTTAGGGATATATAGAAAGAAATGCCTCGCATTCAAGTAATAACTGGAGAAGGAATAAGGTTCGCAGCTCTCCACCTATGCCCCAAAAAATTCCCCATAAATGCAACTCAGACAGAAGAAACAACGGCGGTAGACACATTTTTTTTAATACTAGCATTATAATGAATGAAAATATAGTCTCCAAGGCAATACCTTGACTCGCCCGGTTTAGGCCTCTTTGGATCAGCAAACCGAACAATCAACGGCTGATTGCAACCCTGGAGAAGGGAAAGAGGCCAGTAAACAAAACAGGTCTAGAGGGAATAAGGAGAGAAAGTGAGATACTTATGTGATTCACAGCTTACTCTCATGGTATAAGTTCCATTGAGACCATCGATAGCTGCCATAGCCGTCTCTTTGCTTGAATATTTAACAAACCCGCATCCTAAATGAGTGTAAAACCAGTTTGACCATATCAACACCATCAAACCATTTATAAAATCTAGTAGCAGTTACCAGACATACCACGACTCTGTCTATATTCATCACGCATGAGATAGACATCCTCCACGCGACCAAATTGCAAAAAGATCTGTTAAAGCAACAGCAAGAAAAAAATAGGTTCAAATGAATTGATTCAGAAAGTAGCTGTTCACATCCTTATCAATTTTATTTATAGAGAAAAGAAAGCTGACAGTCGAACAGTTACATCCATTTGGAAGAAGAGATCCCTCAGTCCATTTGGAAGAAGAGATCACTCAAATAGTAAAATGTGTAAGCGCTTGCATAGTCGACACAAATTTCTAGCCACTAACCTTCCAAGAGGACTACTAAATTATCATATAATCACTAAAGTTACCAGCTGAGGCGACGGGACACTGTAATGTCTAAATTTAGAACTCTTCCCTGTTTTGTAAGTCAGCCATAAGTAACTACGTTCATCAAAAAAGAAGGATATGAGGCATACCTCCTCAACTTCATTTTCTGTGGCTTGCTTGTTTAGGGAACCAACAAAAAGCTTAAACTCTACCGCACCTTCAGAAGAAGGAAATTTAATTAGAGTGAGGCTAGGAAAAAAGGATCCACTTCCTAAAGATTCAAACAATTTCCCACATTATCTCATTTTTTGTAATTTGAATTTGTACAGCGTATGGTCATCCCTATCAAGACAATGAAGGCCAGATTCAGATAAGATGCGCTAAAGTTGATTACCTATGCGTTCTCTCTCCCCATCAGCATATCGAACTTGAACAAGGCCAGTTCCCTGGGAATCAGCAAATTGTAAGAGGTTAATTAACCTGTATCTCATGTCTTTGATAAGAGAAAGCATCAAGGGTAGCTACCCCAGGAAGAGTGATCTGATTGTGCAATGCTCTAATGGCTCTATCTGCATCTTCAGAAGTTGCATATTTTACAAAACAACAGCCTGCATTAAAGACTGCTATATAAGCTTCTGTTTAAGGTTCAACTTTTCCCTCCGTCAACATCATGAGATACTAGTAAATAGTTGCTTTACAAATGCACAAGCCACGGCTACAATCTTGAATAAATAAATGGCACTACTCAAAGCACATAAGGTTTAGTACGAAAATCATAAGTCATGTCCTCAAAGCCTCAACTTGGATTACTGGAGTAGATTTGATGGAGAGAATAGTAAACTGATGTCTTCAAATAAAGCATATGCCTTTATATTTAAAAAGAACGCAGTCGGTATTTGCAAATAAAATATATATTCAATCATTGCAAAACAAATTAGAAATATCTACAAGTTAGTACCAACATAAAACATGGTTACGCGACCAATGTAACAGATTAACCATGTAAGAATTCTCAATCACTGCAAAGTAACAAACGATATAAATTATAATTAAAACTAGAGCCATATCTCGCATTTTCGTCACCATACATCACACATTTGTCGACATTCACAATCTAACGATAACCACAATCTAACGTCACTTCATTAATAATAATTGCATTTAGAGAAGAATGACATTCATTAACACATACTTAGGCGGCTCATGCCTGATGCTGATCGAAACAGGGAGAGCGAGTGAAAGTTAAAGACGTATTTCTAAGAAATTAAAACAATCAGTTGCCTTCCATATCTTACTTAGCACCATCTAACATTTCACAGGACTGAAAAACGAGATGTGTGAAATCTACTAAGGTCAAACCGTGACAACGATATGAGTAATAGTTTTCACGTCACCATACGATAACTTCTTGGAAAGTCAAGAATTAATAAAGAATAGCTATGCAACACATATAGTCACATCACTCATCATCTAGCAACTCTTCGCATTGACAACATAAAGACAGAACTCTAACGGAATTGTAGAAGAGAAATCTCAATATATAGAATTAGACCAATAAAAAAAACTGAAACCAAGCTCAAAGGCTTGGTTGGAGAAAAATATCTATTATCATACATCTCATCTCTTCCACATAAATATAGATAAACAGTGTTAGGGTTACCATGCAGAAAGTAGAAACAATAGAGCTACTCAACGAAACAGTCATTCATTAACGACTAAAAGGAGCATATCATATCTTAAGTCGTCCAAGCAATAGAGAGGGAAGAACATACAACAAATCCATATCCCAGGCCATTCAAAATTTCCAAGAGAGTAAAAGAAAACAATCATCATAGTTCCTCAACCATCCACAATAGAAAAAAAAAGAAAAGAAAAAAAGATCATTCATTCCAGCATCAAGCATCCGTAATGGTAAAAAATAATCTCATCATCAACCAATAGAGACAGTACATCCAAAGTTGATATTAAAGAAACTGAAGAAACAAACCATCCAACATGATATAATCACTAAGAAACTGTCAAATCTTGATCAGCAGGGGTGGTGTAAACCATCTTACCAACCTTGTAAGACTACCAAGTAAATATACATTCATCCAGTCAAGACCATACACAACATATTAATTCCATCGAAAGCAAGAGTAAAGATATACTGATTCAATAGAAGAGGAAAAAAAAAACAACGTTCTTTAAACCAGTACCAACTAAAAAGGCAACAGTAAAACATATGTTCAATTTTTATGTACATTAACTTCAACTCTAAAACATCGTCGGTAAAGTCTGCTACACTGTTCAAACACAACTAAGGTTCTAGGATAGACACAAGTCGCACAAACTATTTGCCCAAGTTTAATACAAAAAAAAAACCCCTTTCTTAGCAAACTACATAGGCAGCATTCTTCTGTGACAAACGAACATAAGCAAAAGCCCGAAAATTGTTGAAAACTAATGGAGGCCAATGATGAGACTAGGGTTGCTTCCCATCAGCCTTTTCAGGAGACCTGAAAATTTCAAAAGCATAATTCACGACTAATTCCTAGTAAAATGAAGATAAACATACCTTGCTGCTGTCCTGTTCTCTTGTCCTTGATAAACGCAACCTCAAGAACATTTCCATGTTGTTCGAAAAATGGACGTACCTATAAAAAACAAAAAGATAACACACGAACGGCCTATGACTGCGAGCTTATATCAATAAAGTGCATACACATATCTAGAGTAGAAATTAGGAAAACTAAAAAAAAAAAGATGAACTCACTTCTTCTTCTGTAGCTGTCCTTGGTACCGAGCCAACAAAAAGCTTCACCATACTGCTCCGATCAGAAAAATCTGCAAAAACAAATTAACAAGTAAAATTACATATTCAGCTTGCAAAGATCACATGAACCACCTACACCCAATCGAGTTACATAACATTACGTTGGAGTGAGGCCCAAGCTTACCAGTTCCTGTAAAGCTACTCTGCTCCGAGAGAGTACGGCCTCTTTTCTGACCCGAAAGAGGCTGCTGGATCGGCGGCGAAGTCAATCTCACAGAGTAATCCGGCTCAATCGTTGCCTGAAACCCCCTGCCGCCGGAATATCCCCCTCCGTCTGGATTCTCCGACGGCGGAAAGTTCACGGACACGCCGGGATATCTCCCTCCGTCTTGATTCTCCGACGGCGGAAAGTTCACGGACACGTCGGGATATCCCCCTCCGTCGCGACTCATCGGCGGAAAACCTCCGTCGAATCCAAAACCCATCGGCTGAAACTCTACTCCACCAGGAGGACCATTCATCGGACGAAAACCTCCTCTAGAGCCTTCCCTACGAAAATTACGATCCGTAGAGCTGTCATCTTCCCAGCGTCGATCGCCACCTCCAATTCCAACTTGATAATTGCTAGGGCTGTTTCCACGGCGGCGACGGCGGGTGAAAGCTTCGTCGTCCTCGTCGAAACGTGTGACGGAGGGTGAATCTGAGAGACGAGGAGGAGCTCGGTGGTTACGGTGTGAATCGTTGTAACCGCCACTCCCGTGGCGGTCTCCTCGGTGCCTATCCAGCTTGACGAATTTGGAGAAATTAAAATTCTCGAGTTGAAATCGAAACCCTAAGAGGAATTGGATTGGGAATTGGAGATTAGATCAAATGGTTTGCTGGAAGTGAGCGAAGAGTGCTTTGCGATTTGAGCGGTTTAAAAAATAGCAAAATCGGTTTGGATAGTGGTTGGACCGGTGGTACGGTCCAAGGATCCTCCCTTTCTTCATATATTCTGTTGTCTCAAATCTTAACATCTTTTATAATTACTGAAACAACTTTGTGATTATCCAACAACTTACGTGTCATGGCAATTTAGGTTGTCTACAGATGCAGCATTCAGCATAAACTTGTAAAAAAACAGTGGGTAATACAAGTTGAGACAATAAAAAGTGGAACAAAGTTTGAAAATTAGCAGAGGAGAGCATCGAGGTTTCGTTTGCCCTCAGGACCTTTGGAGTACCAAGAAGAGACATATTGTCCATACACAACTTCCTTGTAAACTGGTTTGGTGTGTTGCCCAATAAGGTGAGAAGCTGGTGCTATCCTTGCAGTCTTGGAAGGATCATGAAACGTTGCAACCGATAACCTCGCCCTGTTTGCATTTGTCACTGCTCTATGTTGAGCACTTTTGTATATCCCATTGGTTATAATCTGCACATAAAACGAGAAAGAACAGAGCATGATAAGAGCTTCTTACTAGCTTATATTAGAGAATATTACATAGAAACAACCTCGGTTTGATCGGCTATAAGAACGAGAATAGCGTGAGAGATAGGAGGAACAGTGAGCCACTGATCATCCTTGTAAAGCTGAAGACCACCAACATCATCTTGAATCAAGAGAGTAATGGCACCCATGTCTGAATGTGACTGAAGACCAAGAGTAAGCTCAGGCTGAGGACAGGGAGGGTAATAACTCATAGTGATGTTCTGATAGATTTCTCCAACAGCTTCCTCTATAGATGAGCTTGGAAGACTCAAGCTCTCTGAGATTATCCCCAACAGCTTCTGAGCCAGTTTCTTCATCTCATTTCCATACTCTTCTACTACTTGTCTAAACCCCAAATCAATAAAAGAAACATTCAGCAGGTGTTATTATTGGTTTATATATTTTAACTGATTTATAAATCAGTACAGTATTTTACAAATCCAAGTAAAATATACAAATGTTCAAATCTAACATACGAATTTTAACTAGTATTTACAAATTCAGAGGTTTTCCTCGAATTTAAGTCTTTCTATTTTTAACAAAAAAATCACTACAAATCTATTCAAATACATTATAAAATCAAATAAATAGGTAAATTGGATTTTAAAACATAAAACAAATAACACTGAAGGTGTATTCAACTAAGAGTTTTAGATGCTTTTTATTAAAATGACAAACCCACTATTATTCAATCATGAATTTTTAAAACTCATTTAAAATCCACTGTTATTGAATTTGACATATTTTGTAAAGTACTCTGAAATCCACTGTTATTGAAAATATTTTAAATTGCCAAATTTTAAAGTTTTCAAGTGATTTTAGACTGTTTGTTTGTGCGAAGTTTATTAATTAAAAAAATTAACCTCAAATTTTATGGTTTTAGGTGATATTCTGGTTAAACAAAAATCATTCTAAACTCTCAAATTCATTGAAATCATCACAAGCCCCACTAAAAAAATCAAATCACCTCAAACTATAGCTTAATATGGATTTTTAAATCTATTAAAATACACAAACCAAAACTCATTCAAGAACATAGAGTGATATGCTTTTGTAATAACTAAAAGGAATCAAATGAACAGTAAACCTGTAGTCAGAAGGATGCAACGGCCAACGAGAAGGATCACGACGAGAGAGAGGAAACGTGTGGTGATCAAAATAATCTCTCCAATCCAAAACGACGTCGCCTTCAGCTCCAAGTAGCATCCGGCTTCCGTAACCCTCCGAAGCAGCAGACGTCGCGTCGCAAGCGTATTTGAGCTTCTCTACCAATGAACAGTCTTGGAAGAAGGAGAGGCCTAAAGCCTTCATCCGATCGAGGAGATCGATGGGAACGCCATGGTTGACCACGTGGAAGGCTCCCCAGTTTCGGCAAGCTTCAGCGATGGAGTCTTTTGTGGAATTGGAGTTAGAGAGGTCGATGGTTGGGATTGGAGCGGTGGTGACGTGGCCGGTGTGGTGGAGAATAGGGCGAGAATCTGGTGGTTGGATGTATTGGGAAGGGACTATATGTGAGCCGGTTTTTGTAACTGCTTCGACTCTTGCTGATGGTTCCATTGGAGATTGATGTGATCTTTGGGATTCGAGTATAACAATATGATCGGGGACTTGGAGAAGAAAGTCGCCTATTGATTTTTTTTTAATTGAAATTTACAAATGTACCCTCGGAGAATCTTTTTTTCCGTGAAATGTGGGTATTAATATACAGTTTGTTATGCTTCATGAGTTGAGAGAAGTCATCCTGCAGATGCTTGAAGGCAGTGTCAAAAGATCTATCATAGTGAGATACTGTCAGATCTTAACTTTGGGAGACTTCAACTCCGGTCTGATCAAAACTGTTATTGATCTTGCACAGAGTAAGAGACATCTTGTGGAGATGGCTGATGGGAATTGTTGTGTTATAGAGTTCAGGGACGTGAATTCTCTCGAGTCAGAGATTCTTTAGTTTTGACAAATTGGCAAAACACTGAAAAGTTATGGAGAACAGCAGGAGATATGATGTTGTTGATAATCACAAGGAAAGGAGGCAAAACATACTTATCTGAAGAGAAATTTAGTATTAGAATCTCTGCCTTAAGGAAGTTGATGTTATCAAAGTCAGACCAATCCATGTCATCCATTTGAAACTGCTGGTGAAGAGAGTGTCACAGCAGTTGGAGGAGAGTTCATCTGATGTCTTCTCAGATCCAAACAGTTCACTCAGAGATTCAAATTGTTACATATATTAAGTTGTTGAAGACTTGAATAAGTCTAAAAGGTTAAAAAGTTTATGTACTTTCACAAACAATAGAGTATAACATAATACTTTTTCCCTGAATTGCTTCTGTTGAAGAAGATTTGAGAGTATGCAGAAGAATAAAGATATGATCAGGTTAAACTATATTCACATCTTTAGTTTTTCCTTTGACCAAAAAAAAAAAATATTTCCTGAATTGCTTCTGTTTTGTTTGATTTAAAACGGCATAATGTTTTTGATAAAGACAACATGTAGTTGTTTTGTTTGGAATGAAAACGTCAATATTTGTTTTATTTCAAGAGATTGCAAAATAGGAACAACCTTCCTAGACCAAGATTATTATAATTTTCAAAATCATCAAAACTGATAACTAGTGTTACTAACTAATAGTATATGATGTTACTAACTAATAGTATATGAGAATATAATGATGTGTATAAATTTTTTTTTGAAAAAAAATAATATTAATGGTTCAAATTAAGGTTTCAAAGGTTCTCCACTCTCACAAATGGCGAGTTAACACCACGCTCTCACAATTACCATTAGTTATATGAGAGAATCGTTTGATTTTCGCCATGTTCTCATTTTGACTTACTAAACCGGTTAATGTGCGCATAAACCGAATTTTATGGTAAAACCAACCCAAAACCGGTTTGAGAAAACACGAACCGGCATTCACTCTGAAAATTCAAATCATCGATTCGTCGTCTTCTCTCTTGACTCGTTCTCCCTTCTTCTGAAATTATGGAGAATATATAACAATATGCTGAAAACCGACATAAAAGATGAGTACAGGTGCTACCAGTTTGTAGTGAACGAGCTGAGAAGAGAAAAGAGGTCTTCTTTCTCTTCAAGAAAAATTAGCATTTATTCTTCATTAAAGCAAAATCTTATTGAAACCTTCTTTTCCATTTTTATTATTAAAAGTTGTATAAATAAGAATTAAAAATTAATTACAATCATTGTCAAAAATAATTATAAATTATATTTATAAATAAAAACTAACAAAACTTTTAATATGACAAGACTAAAGAAAAATATGCCCTCTAAAAGTGGATGTCCTAGTCGGTTAGCCCTCTGGACAGGTCCCAGGTGAAACTCTGGAATTTGCTTCGACAATGCCTCACGTGATTGCCTTGTTTGGTCTTTTGGTGGTGATAGCTGCTGCTGCTTTCCTTGGTGATGTTCGTCGTCCTTTAAAGATGGTGAATACTTGTCACTAAGCGCTGCTGATTTTTGAATAGCTATGTTTTTATTCTCGATCTTCTGCGCCATCTCCTTGAGTCGTGACAGTCCAGTAGAGCAAAATAGCTTGACTTCTTCAGCAATCTCCGGTTTTAGACCATTTAAGAAAGCTTCCTCCAAAAACTCTCGTGGTAATGATGTTGTTGCTGTTATTTCTTCAAACTGTCGACGGTATTCTGCTACTAGCTTGACCTGCTTGAGATTCATCAAACGAGTGTAGGGAGATCGTGTCTGTGCACTACTCCCAAAGCGCAAGAAGAGCCTTTCTTTGAAGTCCCCCCATGTCAACATTGGCTGTTGAGATTCTTCACTTTGAAACCAAATCAAAGCCTCTCCGGACATACTATAAAAAGCTATCTCCTTCTTTTCTTCTTCAGCAGAGCGGTGAAATAAAAAGTACCTTTCAGCTTGTAACACCCACCCTTCAGGGTTTTCTCCCGTGAACACCGAGATATCCACCTGACGGGTTGGAGCTTCTCTCGCCCTCGTCTTGAGAAAACTACTGTTCCCTTCATCAGTTGCTTTTGAACTATGTCGTCTGTCTGGTTCCACTTCCACACATGTTTTACTAGTCACATCTTCTTCTTCTTCTGTATTCTTGTTCATGATCAATGCTACTTTAGCATTAAGTATTTCAATGGCTCGCATCACCTCAATAAACGTCGTCGGCTCCGTAGAAACATACTCGCTTGAAGACATAGTGGGATTTGTTGTGTGGTTTACACTTTTATTATTATTTAAAAAAGGAAAAAAAACTCTTTTTCTTTTATCTTTCTCTTAGTTTATGATTTTTGTTGTTCTGGATATAATAAGCTTAAGCTTAGGTAGGTCTCTGTTTATTTATAGAGCTGTGATGTTAAACCATAATAGTAAATTTCTATTTTCTGATTTACTTTTCTTTCATGATTTCCTTTTTTGTTTGTTTTTTTCCTTTTCTTTTTCTTTATGATTTCCTTTTTGTTTGTTTTTTTTTTTCCATTTTATTTGATGATCTCTTGTTGGATTACCTGTTTGGCTTTACTCATATTAGTATGATTAGTCAGACTAGATTTCTATTGGTAACTGCTTATTCTTACCACGTTTTAGTCTGGTGTTGGCACTTCAGTTAAGAGTTATAGACAGTTTACAGCCTTTTGTTTGGCCTTTAATAAAAAAAAAAAATGTGATGTTTTGCCCCTATGTAAGTCAAGACATGTTCGACTTAGATCGTGTTATTGGTTGAGTGTAATCTGAAGCGTGTAAGTTTTTTTTCTTTGAACAAAATAGACAAACAAAGCTAATCCAAAGGCAGTTAAACAAAAGCCAAACAGTGGAAGTAAAACACACAAACTCGAAGTAAACACTAACAAAAATTACAAGGATTACACTAAAGTTCGGACAAGATAGCAGGAATGTAATGGGAGAGCTCTGCGGTCAGAGACTGAAATCCATTGACGAGCTGAGTATGGAACTCTTGGTCTTCTTCTCCGATCAATCTGAAGTGAACCCTTATGGCTCGCTTGCAAACCGCCATGAATTCAAGAAGTGCTGCGATAAGTTGCTGCAGTTCTTGCGAACGTAATCTTGTTGCAGGCTCACCTGATAAAAAGGCTGTGCAAACACTCAACACCCCACTGTTAACCTGCATTGTTTCCATGGAAGGTTAATGATCATTTTCATTTCTATATAATAAAGATAACAAATGTACCAACCTGCACTGCAACACTTCCTTGAAGAATCCTCTGCAGACTCTGAAGCCGTGGTAGGTGATCCCCGTCCGAGCTACGAGGCTCCTCTAGCTCGTTTCTCAGAGCGGTTGTTCTGGTCTCAATCATTCCAATTGCATTCTCCACCGGCGAGAATTCAAGGGATTCAGATTTGGTAACCAACAGCCTATTCACAAGAGCAGGAAATGATCCCTCTGTCTGCAGCACTGTTCGTCTTTTCCACTGATCTTCTAATCCACCTTGTGTCTTACCGTTCTTTGTAAACGGCGTATCAAACAAGAACCGGTCAAAGACTCGTGCTCGAACACTACCAGTTGAAAGAGAGAATATCCTCTCTCGTCTGCTCCCAAGATCCTCATCTTCCATGACCGCATCAACAGCAGTAATTTGCAGGTAGCAAGCTCCTGCCTGTAATTCTTCTGCCTTCACTTGTCTAGAATCTGGAATGATGTGTAGTATATGGTTGCTGTCCATCCTTGACTCGTATATATGGCTCAGCTTTTCCATTATATCCCCAAGCCGCACATCTCGTGGTTCACGGTATACATATTCTTTCCTGTCTAGCTTCCCAAACTTTTCTCCGTAGAATCCCACACGGTAATACGTGGCGTCAATGAATGGGATAGGATTTGATTCTTGGTCAAGTATGGACTCGTATATGTTAGTAAGTAGCGTGTGGCACTTAGCCAACTGCCCATAAGCCTTCCTGCTCTTGTAAACTGGGATAACAAGTTCCAAAATGCTTGCACAAAAATGGTAGAGCTCAGCTTGAGAGAAAAGCTTATTTGCAAGCTGTAGATACTTGACGGCAGAGTCGACTGTTAGCTTCGAAGCACCATAACCCTCGACTTCCGCTGCAGATGCCTCTGTTGTGAACTCGCCACTTACCATGGGGCAAATTTTACGCAAGGCTGACACATGATCCTTGCTCCAGACACCGTCATTTCTGGCCACCAAGGCCTACACATGCACAGAAGTTGAAGTAGTTGTAATTAATAGAATGAAGATTTGAATACCAATCAGACTGCAGAGATGATTTACTGCTGCATCTAAGATATCACATACACATAATAAGATTTGGAAGCTATTTACCTGCATGATCACACCTGCAACCGCCACAGCACACTGTGCAGCTTCAGCCCAGGACTGCATTTCCTGGTGGGCATCACATAGATGCAGCAACCACATTATGTGAAGATCCGGAACAGGAGCAAATGCCATTCCAAGTTTGTAGAAGCTCTCTGCTGCAGCATATCGATCCATAGCCATCACAGATCCCTGTAATAAGAGAATTGGACGTTGACATTCATGCACAGAAATATCTTAACTCCTTCATTAGGGATGCTCAGCTAAAATTTTAACCCTAAACTCTAAACAAATTCAACAAGCGACAGGAATCCACTCTTATAAGCATAAATTATCTACCTATCAGGAATGAGACCACATGATCATCACATAAGATGCAGATATACTCGTACACACTATAAGTTCAATTTTACACACAGGAAACTGAATCCTGTGTTACCTTATGTATATATCAGTTTCAAGATAAAAACTACTAAAAATGAGTGCTGATAGGGAGGATTTTGAGTGTAGAAGACATGACGCTTCCACCATAAAACAAGGCAAAGACCAGTTTAGCAATTAAGTCCTCTAATACAAGTGACAAGACGAGAAGAAAACATTTCTTCTATCACTATAACGAGAAAGAATATCTTTAAAATTGCCAAGTTGGTTAAAAACCATACCAAAAGGGCGTGCCCCAGGCTCGCATCAAGAGCAAGAACAAGGCTGTCAGAAAGATGTTTCACTTCAGTCCAAGACCAGCGGTTTTCTGTAAATTTCTCGGGAATTACCAACAGAGTATCATCAGGAAGACCACACTCCCTCAACAGAGTGACACTCTTAGCTTCATCAGCCATTTCGCTTAATG